AATGAATGTGCTTAATTAGGCATGACAGAAAGTAAACATACGTTTTGTTCTAGCAAATTCTATTTGAATTTTTTTCCAATCTTAAGATCTTTCTTTGACAAACGTACTTACCTTCTCGCACATGCACGATTTTGATGCTCTCACGCATTAGATAATTCTAATTTACATTAGATTACATCATAGACGGATCATAAGCAAAATCTTGATGATTTGATTTGATGACTGGTTTATTTGCAACACGTGCTCAGACATACCGTTGCAGCCTTATCTGGCTGAATTAGGGCATGATACAAATCAATATTCTTAAAATTCATCACATGTCTATACCCTTACAGACAAGGTACCATTACTAATTCATCAAAATCAATTCTACAAATACCCCTTTGTAATGCTTTTATTCCCACTAGACAAGCGCAATCACGTCAAACATTGCCCTTAGTCGATCCATCACCACCATCTTGCTTTGTGACGTTTAAACTGTGATGACGTAGATGGTCACCAGAGGCGACTCCACGGATGGAGACTTTCCCAGATGGAACCTTCTCTCGCGGCTGGTTGTAGGATGGCCAGCTATTGAAATAACGTTAAAAACTCTTCAAAACGCTGAATCAAAATTCCCACCCGCCCCGGAGCCTGCACAGGAGGCTAACCACTAACTTTCTAATGCGCCCGACACCATCTTGCGGTCTTATGAGATATTGCACAAGTCAACACCATCTCATGCGATCACATGCTCACTGAGTGCTGCTATGCAATGCAATGACGAATCGTGTTATTTTCTCAAAGCCAAGCTATCTACATGTAGAGTACGATTAGCAGGCGTGTTGAAATGCTACTACATTTGTATATTGTTCTATTTTTGCCATGGTGAGAGATAATGGTATTGTTACTTTCCACTTTCGACGCACAAAGATAGAGCAAAGATAACGGGCTACTCGGACAGGTGGTATTGCAGTGTGAAACTACGACGCAAGAGGACGCTATTCAGGTTCTGCAGCGATGACTGCGCAAAGTTTCCCTTTTCTTCTACGCTCTAATGTAAATAATAGGGCAAAAGAACTAAATTCAACAAACAAATATATTTTCGGTAACGTTAACCTCAGTTATGCAACTATGAACATTTGATCCTTCTCTTAAATGCTCCGAAATTAAGTTGACATTTTAGCTTTTACCTTGTGTTGAATATTGATGGTGACTGGCAATTACATAAAGTTGCTGTATCCAAAATAGAGTTTCGAATATATGGATTCTGTAGAACGTGTTACAGGTATTAGTTCTTTTGTTGATTTATACGCTTTCGATGCCGTGCGATATGCATGGCGGCTTTTCCCTGAAGCGCGCTCAAATGGGTGTATTTTACCATGGACGTATCAACGGGCATGCCTTGGTGTTGGCTAATGTAGAGTAAAGCTTTTCCTACCTGTTCTTACAGTTAGATGAAATCAATTGTGGGGTGCATTTTTATTTGGACCAGTTTTACCACTCGTAAAGTATTCTAGATCTGTCATACGCAACACACCAAAGCCAAAGTGTCCCCCAAACAGACGTCAACATGCAGAGTTTGCACAATTCCTCGCCCCCGTGCCCACCAGTACTGCCCGGGCTGTTCAGACACCCCGCTCACTTTAGAAACGCCGGAATGTCAGAAAAATCAGGGGATCCATTAGCGGCAGATCATAGCAAAGCGCGCCAGTGGGGGCCTCGGTTTTTCGACATTTGATGGACATGTTTAGCGTCCAAATACGGAGCAACATGGCCCCTACAAGTTTGTGTTTGCACGAGGAAAAATGGAGCAACAGTCAACAGGTGTAGCCGTCCCACAGGGAAATTAACCGGCGCTTTGGAAACGGGCTATCAAGAGATGCATTTTTCGCTGCAAACAATTTCATATGTTATTCTGTAAGATAGAAGATAATGGAACAATTATGGACAACAATGCATCATGCACTAAGGCGTTTCTCCATGCTAGATAAGATAGCAAAGTCTTCGCAATGCAACCACACATAATTTCGTAATACAAAAGTAAAACTTTCGAGGGAAAAGGGATCATGTTTTTTTGTCTTTCTGTCATAACTCTGTCCCGTTGGTCATTACGCCATATAAGCAAGAGGGACAAAAATGGAAAAAGTTGTTTTAGACAGAGCCTCTATTAATAAAGCTCGAGTTACGATTAATCAATCATTACGGGAAAGCTGTAACTAGTAAGTTATATGGGATATAGTGAAAATGGCATCTTCGGTGATGTCACAGTATCTTTATTCAGTAGTGTTGGAAGGAATGTTATCTTTCTTTGTCGGAAAATTATAGAACTTACTCCATACTAAATCTTAGATGTTGGGCGAAATTTGTGACATACGAAACTGGTAAGCTACAAAGCATTGCAGAGAGTCTGCGTAAGATTTGGATAGAGCCATACTTCGATGATGTAGAGACATCGTCAATGTTGTTCGCATGTACAAACCTGGCTATTGATGGAGACTGGTAGTTAAAGAACAGCAGTCGCAGAGAGCGCATCCAACTACACAGGGCACACTTTTACACAGACTAAGGGAGATTGTCTCGATTGTCTCTATTCTTAGTGTGCCAAACCCTTATGATACATGCAACACAATCTACGAAATTGATACTGCTTGAAACACTCAGTTTAACTTGATGTTGAGTTGTTTCGCGTCAAGACATGATTCAAGCGGGCAATGAAAGGAGGGCACAAAGATTTGGAATTTGATATCCAGTTGGCTAGTCGTGAATTAACGGTACCTCATCGTCACATTGCACCTTCATAGTTATACACATGGAGCCATATATATAAACTGCACTCTAGAATGTGCCAATCTCTCACATTTGTCCAGTTTTGACCAGGATAGAACACTTCTGACCGGAGACTTTCCCGAAGTGACGGGGCATCAGACGGGTGTTTTGAGGCAACAGAAAGACCCTTCATGTTGCCAGTCTCTCTACTGTTCAGAGTCGGCGGCCTAGAACTCTGTTTACCTGTAGAGACTTGTTGAGAAGGACAGGCTCTTGACTGAAGGGGACACGAGGGAAGCAAACACTCCCTTCCCCTAGAATGTCCAGTCTGGCGACTTTAACTAGAACGTCATTCTTGTTATAGGCGAACAGGTGGGCAGTTATGCTTAATATTGCATGATGCTATTTTCACCAGACTAGTAATTCTTTGGTATACGAGCAGTCGAGTTATTTATTTGGAAACAAAAAGAAACGGTGTAAGTAGATAAGTACCAGACATATCGCGAACATATTGTGTCTTGGTCAAGGCGGGATGAGTTGCCCCATTTCTATCTTTTTTCCGTGTACTTTAGCCCTCGTTGAGCAGAATCAACTCTCTGCTGAAGAGTACATGTGTTAAGCAAACACTCCCCGGCGACGGGTCGCGGCAACGGGCCGTGCGATAAACACTCCCGCGTCATTGATTTGGCGAAGTGCGCGAGTGTCGCCCTCCCTCACGAGAGGCGGAGCCACGACTGGGAGTCGTCTTGGGGTACAGGTAGTTCAAGAACCACTTTTTTTGCTCAAAATCGTGATATACAAATGAAATTGGAGACAAATATGCCGTTTCAAAAGTAATGCAAATGCTTGCCATGCACATCACCTGCCAATAAAAGTAACCTTTTTTGGAGAAAATCACGGAAGCATAGCGAACCTGTTAAATAAGTAATCCTATTTATTTACTTCTTTTCTACGCGTCCCAATTTTTTGCCCTTATCTGTCAAGAAACGTCAGCAAAACCATTTCGAGCAGACCTGAAGTAAACAAGCATTGCACCCCTGTCCCTGAACAGATACGAGGATCACCACAACAGCCGGGAGGCGGGAACCCTCCTCAATAGCCTCAAAGGTCACTCGTCGTTTGCAGGTCACTTACTGTCAGAGCACTCCAACTCATTGGTCGAGACACGCCGCTACTTCTCCACAATTACTCAACGTCTGCGGACGTAAGAACATCATCTTGTGGTCGGAGCGTCCTGATGACATCTCGGCCCAGGAAGGAAAATTCACAAGACGTTTGAGGGAACAGTCCGGACACGTGCGTGCCGAGGTTACATTTTGAGCCGTTGTTTTGTTGGCTCTCTGTTCAGAAATCCACTCTAACAATACGAATGTGAGGTTGTTACGTGATATCACGGAGTTGGGCTAGAGAGAAGACTCAGGATGGAAGGAGGCGACCACAGGAAAGGACATGTGGCGTTCTGCAGCAGATCAACACCGCAACAGAAAGCTAAGGTGGACCCCAGGTGAGTGGACTGACCTGTACCTCTGCTTATCATATGCGGTAGTTTGTGTACCTGTCTCCTTAGCATCTATTTATTGAAATCCTAGTCGGTGTTTTACATGTTACGACTGCTACAATGACATGGTAGCTATTCGATAAATGTACCTTTTGCTCCCAAGTTACGAGGACAAGCGAACAGAGCGACTTGACTGAATCAAAAACACTACACATTCAGTAACAAAGACACAAGAACTCTTTTTACTGCAGCCATCTAGAGGTCGAATCATGCACTAGACTAGGAGTCTGATATTGTACATTGTATACATCATATGTCATACTTAAGTTAAGCCTTTCCATGCAGATTAAGAGAGACATATTTTAGGAATTGATCAATATTAATTCATATCATATGCGTTAGTCTGTGTACCTGTCTCCTTAGCATCTATTTATTGAAATCCTAGACGGTTGCTTCCAGAAACAAACCAACACAGTTACAAGACACGCCGTGCAAGCAGAAACACATTCAGACTGCCAAAACCCAAAACTAACGCCATGAAAAAGACTTTTATGTATATAGATCTGCCTTAACATGGAACACTTTGCCTGATGCGCTAGTAAGTGTAGGTTACGGCAGGAGCTCGTGCTGCATATCATCAACCCTAATTGATTAACCATGTTTTAATTGTAGAATACTAGATGTTAGCCTTATGTAGTTTGTATGTCCTTGTTCTATGTTTTTACGGTCCAGGAAGATTAACTGCGTATTCGTGTATTTGTGTACGACAGAATAAAGTATCCAAGAATCCAAGTATCAATATTAATTCATAATAGATGTTGGTGAGCTCAGAATTACTCAAAACCACCTGTAACCACCATACGGTGTTGGGTCATGTTTATCTAAAAGTGTGTCCTTTTCAGGTACATCCTTACACACATGTGTAACGTTATATAGGATTTAGTCTATAGGAAAATTAGAAAAGTTGAATTGATATTGTCAGATCAATACTGTAAGATCTTGTAAAATGTTTTAATGCATAAACCTCACAGCCTATGCATGGCCGGTTGATTTACTACTATATATGGATCGCTGAATGTGCCCATATGTACTATAGTTTGTAGTTTTATATGGTATGTGGCAACATGCAAAGACTTAAGCCGTGAGAAAAACGCATTACCTGGTGCGGCATTACCTTATAGAAACAAATTCTTACAAAGAAGATACATTTAGGAAGAATAGGTGCGAAATCCTAGCCACAGCCGTCTCCTTGCACTGGTTGTGTAGAAACTGGCGCAATTTGTAATACATGTACAATTGGTGGTTCCCTTTTGCCTTTCGCTATGATATAGTATGTTTCATATCACACAGCACAGAAATCATACACCCAAGATTTATTTTCAGCGAATGTGAGTCGGCTTGAGCCTTGGTGAACACATTACGAGAGCAGCCCGATAAAGGTCCAGTGACCATCTGCCAGTCAGTTGAGAAAGCTATGTTATACTCGTATAATAATTCATATTTCTGTAAGATAATGCTTATTTTTCAATGCCTGAACTTCAATCGGTTTTTCTTCATTACATGTGCTAAGTATGTCTTCTAATACATGTGCTTAGCATGTAAGTAATTGTGCTCAGGTAGAGTAAAGTGTCATAGTGGAGCTAGTTGAATACAGAGCCGTCATCAGTGATCAAGTATACGTAGACCCGGCTTGTTCAGTCGAATATCGTTAGACTCATTTACTCATAAACCAAGAGAAATGAAATTGATACAGTTGTAATCTCAAACATATACAAACTGCGCCAAGTTTTGTTTCCCGGAGTTTATGGAAAACGGGTCTATCACTTATTTTCATGAACAGATTGGATCAAGCGTTAAATTATCAAAATAACCTGCATTCATCTGGGTCCACCATCACACTTTGCTCTACAACTTATAGATACTATGCAATTAATTTAAAAGGTTACAAATGATGGCAGCTATCTACGTACAGAATGAACCTTTAAAATCAAAATTCACAAATCTAATTTATAGTTGGTAACGAATTCGAATGTCGTTGGGATTTACGTTCCGGGCTACATGGAGACATTAGCAAAACTGTTACATATTCGTATATTTCATTCAGAAATGTACAACTAAAACATCTTTAGATTGCAGAATCAGAAACCGTATTGGCAAAGTGAATATTGGCCCAGTATATTCGACAAATGCTTGTGGAACTAAATTATTTAGTAGATTTTATATGTCTAGTATAACGTAACAAAATAGATTCAGAAGACGAGCAAGCGAGAAACTGTTGCGGATTTAGAAGGGGCGAACTAGTTGTTTTATGCACGCACTGATAAAATGTAGATGCAGTTTTAAAACACTTCTATTGCAGAAAAGCTAATTTGCGAGCAATTTCTTAATTTTCTTCAATAATGATACACCGTTTTATTATTTGTATCTTTTTATAATACGTATCTGAGTTATCACCATACACCACTTGATTTTTTTATCACTTGATTCTGGTTCATATTAGCGGATATACTTTCTAAATTGCGTCAATATCTGTTAACTGCAACTTCTATCGGAAATGTGACCAGTAATACTCTTGAAACTAAACGAAATCTTTCTCTCTGGCCAACATTATTGTGTCCCAAGAGTAAGAGCATTTTGAAGCAAAGCGTTTTTAGTAGAGATGTTTTGATCACGCCACGTTAAAGGACTATACTAGCATGTTATATTTCAGTGCAATGAAATAATTTTGCGTCAAAACAGTACCAGCCTGTCCCGATATTAAACCCGTTATACGAGATTCAACGCCTCGAATCGAAGGCTTTGCTGCAATAATATAATAACTGATATAATTATCAACAGTCCCAAGTGGCGTTACGGGAGTATAATTCCCTTCGCATAACGGGTATACCCTTAACGCAGGTTAGCCAGGAGTGCTCTTCAGAAACTGGTTCACAGTCTATACATATGCATGTATATAGATCAGTGTCAAGTCAGACTTACGCCCCTTTACTTAACTCTTACCTGCTTCGACAAACCACGCACAAGCTTGAAATCTTATAAGATCCATTCAACTGTTTGGAACTTTGGTGAGGCTGTAGTTATTGGTTATACATGTGTGAAGCGGCCCCTTCAAATGTCTTTTTCACAATGAAAGGAAAGTGTCATCGTGTCCATTAAAACAGGACAACAAGGACGTCACTAGTCCTGTCTGTGAGGTAGTCAGTTCAGCTCTGTGGAATTGCTTTGTAGAAGAGAAACACGCTCGCCCGAGATTATGCATTTCCTGGGAGAAAACTTGTAAATATCTGGACATGGCGGTTCAAACATGTTTGCTGTCAGGATTATCAGTTGTCGCCACGGAAGCATCTGCAGGCGAGAAGTCAGCTGAAGTTTTGTTAGTTGTTTATGCGATTCGTGCATGATAAGAGAAACAGCCCCCGTCTAAACTAACCCAGAGTCAGTACCTTTGCCTTTGGCCAAGGTACGATCCGGGGTTGACATCGGTGAAAGTTGCTTCGCACATCGAGACTTAAAGCTTTTGGAAGATGTACCGAGTGATGAAGAACTGGTATGGTCATGCTTCTGTATCTGTTACAATATAATGTAGAATGCTGCATTGTTTAGTTTTGCACAGTGCCATAGTTGTTGGAGGGAATCGTAGATATTCTCCGACGTAAGCTAACAATCTACAATTTTGCTTTTCTATGTAATATGGTGTTTTCATATCAGATACTTAGTAGGTAGTTGATAGCAGGTGTTCGCATATGAAATTTTGTACGTTGGCAGAGCGTGGTGGTGAGTTGAGAGGTTGGTGCTGTGTGTACGGGCTTCCGGACAAACTTAGCAATATTTGTACCCGGCAAAAGATAAACAGCTCGGCGTTCACCGTTTAACATGGACGCAGGGCTGACTTCGTGGTACCGGTGCAACGATGTCTGATCTTTTAACCTCGCCAAGTCGTGGGTCTTATATATGAATAGTTTAAATGAATGGTTGATTTGCTAATGAATTAAGATGCTATAAATACACATACACTTTTTTTCAGATCTGAAGGCAGATATAAATCAGTTTTCCCATCCTTAATATTATGTAGTCTCATATACATGCGCATGGTCAACAAACTGAACGCAACAACTATTGTCTTTTTCTGGGTAGTGCCAGTGGGAGTGAATATGTCATTTTCTAGATGAAGAAGGGAAGGGACTGAGCTAAAGTAAGTTGTATCCGTTGTATCTGAAGCCTGGCCTTTGTGTCCCCAGCTTCAAGTCGAAGCGTTATCGAGACAAGCACCGTGAGCAGATCAAGGCTATGGAGGCGCTGTTACCGGTGGACAGGGCGACCCTGCAGAGGAAACTGGACTCACAGACAGTCTTCCGTCTTGTCATAGCCTACTTCCGCACCAAGATCTTCTTCAAAGGTAAAATACACTCTGCTGTATACCTCCTCTCTATACTTGCTAAAGAGGACAATAGTTTTGGGCACAGCATGTAAATCCAGAGTTGAGAAGTGAGTCGTTCGTTGTACACAGGGATGTGTCATTCTCAGCGTCGGATACAAGATTATTCTGTTAACAACAAAGGATAAGAACCGCATGTGACAATACTGATACATGGTGTACAGTTTGTGGTTGCAAATAAAAAGAAATGAAATCTTGGAGCCAATTAGCTACCTGGTTTTGCGTTCACTGTAAAAAGCTCGGAAACACCACAAAGTCAAGACGTTACCGGAGTGTACGTTTTACCATTGGACAAATACGTTATGGTATGTCATCGGGAGGTCTTAGATTCTGGGCCAAGTATTCATGATCAAATTAACAGAACGTGTCTATCTGTGCGTTCCACTGCGTTGTTTTAGTAACCCAATTGGTGTTTATTAGTGTTGATTGGTCCTGGTCACAGATTTAGTTCTTCTGTTCTCCTAAAACAACGCCTGGACACAGCTAGCCCAGTGCTTACGTGAAGTGATCCATAACGTGGAGGGTTTTTTTCAGCTAAAAGTGTTAAGAAAGTTTTAAAAAAGAGCAACTGCATCAAACGTCTCAGGTTGGTAAATTTGAATCCACTATTCCGTTGGAAACGAGTATAGTCAACGTATTTGCGTCAATCGTAGTTGTTTGAATCTAGCTTTCAACAGACTGAAGAACGTTTGGTAACAGGTGGAGTCATTTAGGATTACTCTGACAAACCGCGAACTCAATCGCTTCCGATTGCTGTGTAAAATTATTTCGTTCGGTGTACATTCCATAAGTGGAACATATGTCAAATATTGGGATACAACCCTGCGAAAACATGGCTGAAGAGGGTTGGTTATGGGTACGTGCGCTGTTGCAGCCCGCCCAGAACGATAAGCCAAAGTGGTTTGTTTCTCATATTTGCAGTCACTGATTATAGCTGTAGTCTCTTGCCATCATGCTCAATATGTAAGAAAGGATAAAGATGGAAGAAATACACATTTTTTCAGCGTGGTTCGCTTAAGTCAAGAATTGTGTTTGATTTGAAGTGAAAGTGAAAACCGTGAAATGAATCTACGATGTGATTGAAGTAATACATCTAAAATGTGTGCAACATCAACAAAGAATTAAGACGTTTGGTTTACTGTTACGTCGGCACTTCTAAGTTCATTCCGTGGAAATAAGCTGTTGTAGAGAAGGTCTTAGAGACTAGTATTTGAGAACATGGTGGCACACTGAAAAGCTCTCAATGGTGGAGCATTGGCCATGACAATATCTGTTTTATCGACATTTGTCACGATTGGAACTAAGAGGAACATTTCTTAAACATTGAAACATTATCTGTGGAAAGTAAAGCTTGTATTATCTAGAAAGTCAACAGTGTACGTTAGTCTTCATAACAAATGCCATAGTAACAAAGGGTAAACTGAGAAGGTTATATAACGTTAGACCCAGTAGGTTGTAGGCCCTATGACCTCCTTGGTTAGAAGTATCTATCATGTACAACACAAAAATCTAGGCGTTGTTGTGGATGAAATAAGCAATTGTGTAGTTTTGCTTAAAACTATTGAAAATCACGGTGAAATGTATCACTAAAAGACATGATAAATGTTATCAACGTGATTTGTCTCTGAACTGCGAAATGCTTTCATGCCAGCAAGTCATTGAATGTACTGTAGTTTTTTGGGGCACCATCATGTCTTATAAAAATAGGATACAGTCAAAGGAGATTCGGACAAGTATCCTATGATAACTCGAAGACTTTCTTGGGCAATAAACGAACAAAGGATTTGCCAGACCCTGTCCTCGTTGAGGTCTGTTTTGGGGCGATGCTATGGCAAAAACGGCAACAAACTTCCACAGATCTATGCTTGTTCTAATTTGCCTTCTTGTGATTGCACATGGAGAACACTTCCAAGCTTTCGGCTCCGCCATCTTGACTCTAAAGTGCCCGCTGAAGTAGAGATTTCCCAGCGAGTTTGTTGTGTTGTCCACACGTGGACAGAGCATCTTTGGTGTAGGGGGACGATAACCTGGCTGAGAAACCGTTTCTAGCTAATCTAATCTGTAACATAACGTCATATTCACCTCTCGTATTCACAATTAGCAGAATATTTGGTCATTCGACTTTTGCATGGTTTGACAGTCGGATTTCCTTTCCTTATATGCCTGATCGTCTACGAAGAAATTCGTGAAAAAATGTTTTATTGATCTATCAAAGATTAAGACGTGGTGTGAGGCGGGGACGTTCTTTAAGAGGTTTAGACAGCGATTTTTGACCAGCCAGGGCTTAAGCTATCTAGCCAGGGGTCTTTATTTGTGAATATTTGTGTTACTAGGTGGGATAGCTGTCTCTGGGTGCCACGAGCCAGACCTCACAATTCCACCACTGTATTAAATCGCCATTAGGGCAATCTGCCGATACCACGGCCATGTTACTATACTCAACTCGGAATGAGTCTGTTATTAGCGACTTTTCACCTTGTTAAGACTGCCAATATACCAACAGACATTGGGAAGGATGCAGACTAGAAATTAAAGCTTTCATTGTTCAAACCTAAGGTACGACAAAGCTAGCTGGTATCTTATTCTGTTCCCAGCCTTTTAGCGAGTGACGCAATAGTGCCCATTCATTCTGGTAGAACGCCTAGCTACGAGTGACAGAGTTTGATAACGGTAACAAAGTTTGTGTTCTGGTTGTTTTGAACATTTGAATGACCTCAGACTGTTTTCCCAGCTTTTTGCAGCTGTGTGTGCGTCTTTGGCACATTTTTCTCCACACCACAGTTGACACAAAAGTGACTCTGCGGGGTTAATAAAAGGGCTGATCGATAAGATAGCAATATTGTCCCATACTTGGGTCACCACGGTGGACAAAATCCTGCGGGATAAACAACTCTGACTAGAATTTATCCGCGGTACGATAATATTTGTAGTAGAGGAAAACATGTGTAGGGACAACCTGTACACAGGGTGTAAGGGGGAGGACAGGTGGCCATGCCTCCCGGGCGCGATGCGCGGACCCCGGGCCCGCTACCCTGGCAATCCCGCCTGCAAAGTGGTCAATTATGCCACCTTTTTGTAACGCCAGTAATCTGTACAGTCTATTCTCGGCCCAACTCTACAAACACGGTGTTGACATTTGATTTTATTGTAGACAGTGGGAAATGGAATTGGTATCGATCGGTTTACGTTTCAGAGCGCAGAGTTACGGAAACTTTGCACCGCCTGCTGCAATCTGAAGTCTGGCGGCCCAGCGCGAACACCAGTAACCATGTAGCTACCGTTCACAGTATTAGTAAATAATATGGTGGGTCTATGACTGTGTTAGAGTGTAGTAAAGTCCCCTTCTGTGTTGCCGTCATCATTGACAGTACAATTTGGTCAACTTTCAAATGAGTTTAAATCTATATGAAATACGAATAGAGAGTAATCATGACATGCACTTTTGATCAGTATGGTCGTCTTGGCGAACAGATATCTAAAATCTGTTAGTGGCAAAAAGAAAAACAAATCTTTAAATCTGAAATCAGCATGATTACATTTGCGGCGTTCATGCTAATCAGATAGGGACGGATATGATTTGCTAGACAGAGACGCAGTCGGATGGATGAAATTCCCGTTTATCCATCTTAAAAGCGTTCGTGGACTTCTCCTTTCACAAACTTTGGAACGGGGTATTGAACGCACAAAGTTGTTTTCAGTATGATTACATTTCGTACAAGAATGACATAAACAAGTCGTCGTATAAGCCTCGGTCACAACTCGCCGTACGTGCTTCTGCGTGCTGTCTACGTGCAAAAACGTGGGCAAACGTACGGCATCCGTGCGTGGTGAGTACCGCCTCCGTACGGAATCCTACGGATTTGGGAGCACGCAGACACGCCGTAGAACCTTAAGTGCATGTAATACTTTTTCTACGTGCGGTCTGCGGATTTACCACCCGTGCGTGCGAGTACGTGCGACGCGCGTGCCCCGTACAGCCTATGAGCGTGCAACGTACGGACTCCGTGAGTCTAACGTCACTATTCTAACGTGCAATTGCTGTACGGACAGCGCACGAAGCACGTGAGTGCCACGTACGGTGCTTGCGTCATCCGTGCTTACTCCTCACTTCCCAGTTGACCTGCTCAATGACCACGCAGAACACACGTGCACCATACTAGGTGCTCCGCACGTGCAACGCACGTGCAACGCACCTTATTTCTACAGTATATAAAGACGACTTGACGGGCGACTGCCAACTCGTCTCCAAGATGCCCAGGAAGGCTCAAAAGAAGTCTACCAGACAAGATCCAAAGAAACGGGCCGCGGAAGACACCAGGGCGGCTAGTGATGATGAAGTTATCAGGAGGTGCACGCACTTACAACGTGCGAGTGAGTAAGGAAATCGTGCGCACGCCGCACGTGTAGGTACGGCCTGTACGCGGCAACGTGGCAATCGCACAGAGATCGTACGTTGTAAGCACGTACAACTCACTTACCACTTGCGCAACGTACGATGCACGCAACCGCTGACGGCCAGGCGTGTCGTGCAGACCACGTACGTACACCTTGCGAGTGACGTACTCCCTCGGCCGGCCACCCTACGTTTGCAGAAAAAACGTAGCAGACGTAGCCACGACAAAAACGTACGGACAAAAAGCACGCACGGCGAGTTGTGACCGTCGCTATACGTAGATTTAACAAAAATCATCAGAGCAAGCAAACTTCTATCACTGGATAAGAATAAAACTGTCAGACGCTGCCATCTTACATATGGCAATATGACAACCTCGACTTCGTCAAGCCATTGTCTATGATTGTTATCTGAGGAAGACGTACTTTTGATTTCATTGGATAGACCTAACTGTAGATCTACCACAACTATAGCTGCTAACAGTATTGGAAAGTGAACTTTACTTTTGCAGTCCAATTTTGCTGAAGTTAAATTGTTGCCCTAACAGAAAATCAGCATTTGTAGTGTGTCATATGACTGATGAAATGATCCATGGTCATGCTCCCTTAGTTTGGACGGCACACAGATCCGTTTGTATGGTGACATTTTACATTTTCATTCGTCTTTGTCAGTGGTTCATACATATGTAAAAAAATTCTTAATTTCATTCTTTAAGCTGCTGGATTCTCCCGCAACGACACACCCTTGACGAAGATAGACAAAGAAAAAGATGACACATCATCACGTGAAGCGGAGGAAACTAAGGAAACTGCACAAGATGGCGCAGTCAACGGGGCTGGAGGTGATACAGCTGACATGTACGTGGGAGAGGAGCAGGCAATACAGGTAACATGTCGCTCTGCATATTCATCGCGGTTACATGCACCATGTTTATGGGTGTGTGTGTGTGTGTGTGTGTGTGTGTGTGTGTGTGTGTGTGTGTATGTGTGTGTCTGTGTGTGTGCGTGCGTGTATGTGTGCGTGCGTGTGTGTATGTGTTTGCATTTCTGTGTATTGTGTGTGTGTGTGTATTTCTAGTTAAAACAATCCTATGTTGAAACACTAGGTTAAAAGTGTTTCATAACACACAAATACACGTGGACTGTAAGCTATGACTTCCGCAGGGCTGCATGTCCTTGTAGTTTATATGAAAAGAAACGTCATCTAGAAAGTAGCTTTGTTTTCAAATCGAAAGTAAAGGCAGGAAGGAGAAATATGGTTTATTGGAGGTTAAGAAAGATAAATGAATAATTCAATGGTTTATAGGGACTAGAGAATACAGCCATAAGTAGCAATCATCTAATGTCATTCTTCTTATGCGCAAAATTACCCGTTTTTTTTTCAAAAGAGCACAAGGTCGAGATTTTTATTTGTAAGCGGATTTGGATGATTCCTATGTGAACAAAATAAATCGAAGATGAAACAAGGGCATATTCTTAGATCGTGTATCCTGGAAGTCAAAGGTGGTGAAAGTTTTCCTCACTCAATTTGACGATCTTGACGAAGCAATTATTCCCCGCTCAATATATTTGCATTCTTGTCTAATATCGAGCTAAATTTGCACGCGACATCACATTATACGAATGTATGTATGCCCAGCTGCACTGATAATCACTGACGATATCAGTCATTCCCTGATAACACTGACAGCTGATGACTTTGAAGTCGTGTATGTCTGATAGTTATAAATGTCATGACCATGACTCCAGTGGACCTGTCCTGCCGCCCCTCCCCACTAGTCTCCACCAGACTAACTGCGCTACAGGGAGTAAATATTTGCCAGGAGAGTTTGGCCATTGTAGCGTTCATTTTCTTGGCCTCTTCTTTGGAGACGAAATTGGCAAAATAGACCTTTAGTGGACCAACTCCACTGGCATCTGTCTATTTAGCCAATTTCTACTATTTCCAGTCACTTCTGAAGACCGGCCATTCATTTGCCCGCACAATGTGAAATGTTACCCTTACCATGGCTCACTCCCCTACCAAATTACCGACCCCATTCTTTGCCGAACCTCGCTATCCACAACCCCGTAGGAAGGCCTGGTGGAGGCTGTCACCCCACCGTCCGGTTTCTTGGGGCGACCGTGCCCCTAGTGCCGCCCGGGTCAGGGGAACACACCGTTAAGCGGGTTGATGCGATAAGCCTAATAATTTTTGACAACAGTACAATCATCTCACGGCTCCCCCTACAACAGTGGCTTGATAAATGGTGCGATAGTATTTACCTGAGTTTATTTTGGCACATTGTAAACCCATTTGTCAACGGGTGTATGACGTTTAACAGATTCAAACAGTGATAAGCGTGAGCCGCACAGCAAGCCGAGGTCGTTAGGTGAAGCTGGGTGTATTCCTACATACCGTCGTCACTGTGGTACATAGCATAGGGACAGGTCACTCCATGTTTAATTGTTGAAGCAAGGAAACTGAAAAAAAAAGCTTGGCCTCAAGAAAACCGTTTTCTTTGCTCAGCATATACTACGTTTCTAAAACGGCGAAATTTGCTTGTCACTGAGTATCCAAGTATCTTACTTTGATTGTGGTGCCACAATAAGTGTGAAAAGTAAAAAAAAAAAGTAACTCTGCTACAAGATAGAATACAAGTACGTCAGAAAGTGATCATTCTGCGTTACGCTATAATGATGTGTTGGTATGAATCAGGCAAGGGAACATCAAACCTACCCTTCGTACTTACCGCATATATATAGTATCTTTGCATCAAACCTACCCTTAGTACTTACCGTAGTATCTTTGCATCAGAGCCTGGAAAGGAAAAAAGAATATAGATGATCCCCCATACCTGTTGCGTGGGGTTTAGATGTAGATTACATGTATGAAATTGTTACTAATAAAGTGCAGACGTGCTTCTCTTTACACAAAGTCCAGACTATGGACGTGACATTTTTTCTAGGTTGTTTTTTTCGAATATCGAGAATCTTATCGAATATCGAGACTGGCTGACAAACAAGAAAATAGATAACCAGATTGATGAACAAACAGATTGATCAGCTAACGAAGAAGACTTACTGATGATGATTCCTGTCTGTCCTCCAGGCGCTTGACGGCTTCCTATTGGTGGTGACGTCAGACGGGACGATCCTGTACGTGTCGTCCAACATCTCCGCTACCATCGGCTTCAGTCAGGTACGGGCGTCTTCCTTCTCTCTTCATCCTAGTCTGTTTCAGTCCCAACTCATTCATAATCTTCTTTGTGTATCATAAACACTATCTTCGTCATCGCCGACTGATTCTCAAAGAATTGTTTGTTTGTTTGTTTGTTTGTTTACTAGTTTGTTCATGGAAAACTCAAATTGGCCTGCTGGCCGCTTTTCATTGAGGTCATGAGAGAAAACGTAAGGGTCAGACAAAATATAACAAAGATACAAATTACATGTGTGAAGTCTTAATAATGAATGACTGCAAAAATGTAGCGTTTTCCGCATGTTTTGTATGTGGTATATAACCCTATTTGTTTTGTATAATGCTAATTATAGTAACATCACAGCAAGGTTGTTTTGAGAAGGGCCGAGCGCACGTATCGCAGTACGTACGTTTCTTTATTCTCACCGGTACCGTGGTGTGTCGCCAGGTGGACCTTCTGCACCGCTGCATCTACGGGATCGTCCATCCTGATGATCACCACGACCTCAAGTCAGTGCTAGAGCAGAGGTTTGACACTTGCAGTACCACCAACAAAAAGCAAGAGGGCGTGCTTGATAACGGATTGAACGCCCCAACATCTTCTTCAGAACAGACGTCGATGAAAGAGGGGTCAATGCCCTCATCCAATTTACAGGTGCCTTAAGCTTGTCCTATGCTTTTCTGTTTTTGCTTTTTTTCCCGATTTTTATTATTCCACTGGGGCTTTTATGAGTGCAGTGTAGTCACAATGGTCACGACTCACAATCATAGGACACGAAAAAAAATGCCGACGGAGAATCGTTATTCCCTAACTGTGTCATTACTAATACCGGAAAAACTTATTTAACCATTATATTCTTCATTCACAGAGTGATGGTCAAGGCCATTCTACGAGAGACGAGGCGGTTCTCGCAGACGACAGCAAAGAAGTGTCCTTTCTCTGCAGGCTGAAGTGCTTCAATGGGACCAGTACTGGATATGTCGTAAGTAGTTTATAGCTTTCTTTTAACATGCTAAGTGCTATGAGATACACTATACCATGCGCTGTTTACAAGATAGGGGAGCAAACCCTTATTTTTGTTTGATTTTGCGTCTTTTATCTGTGTGATAGTAGTACAACGTTTCCCTGTCCTTGGTGCTGAAGGCGTTTCCCTCTCCTTGGTGCTGATTTAACGGTAGAGAGTCTCACTCCCTGTAATGTTTCCGCAGAAGGTACACTGCACGGGAAGGATGCGGTCGTTCCCGGAGAAGGTGAAGCCGACCAGCCGGACGTCAGCGCAGATCGCCTTCGTGGTGTGCCGCCCGTACGTTCTCCTCACCACCGACCCCTGCGGCGACTCACGACAGAACGCCTTCTGGTCCAAACATGACGTCGACTTCAAAATCAAAGCCTTACACGACAGGTGAGACAACGTCAACATTTCTAACTCTCCGGGCAGAGCTTTAGGCTTCGGCTTACTTAACGCGTATTTTTAGGAGTTTTATCGGGCTCTCTTTTTTGTACTGGTATATTTTTTACGAGGAAGGCAAAAGAATACTTTCTGGCCAAACTGGTACTGTCTTTGCAGCCACCGATCTGCTTGGAGATTAAACATTTCTGGCAGATGCGTTTTGTTTTGAGATCAGAGCCCCTTATCTTTCATCTCTCCACAGAGTGACAGAGATCCTGGAGTATGAACCGGGAGAGTTGGAGGGGACGTCATTCTACAGCCTCGTCCATCCTGACGACCTGGCGACTTGCTACGAGTGTCATAAGTCACGTGAGTATTCTTATTAAATGGCAGCTTTTGGTCGATCGATGCCCAATGAAGAATCCAGTGTAAGAATGGACCAATGCCATTTGTCTTTTCTTACAATGGAACCTTCCATGAGTATCGGCCAAAGCTGGTTCGGAATCGGGTGCTACATTGAAGCTATGTTGAAAGTGAAGTGAGGTCAAACAAATCTTTCAACCTGGAAGTATATTTGGGATAGGATCCAGGAGGATGGACTTTCAATCATGATTCTTGTCTTGACACGAAGTTTATCTGTTTTTCTCGCACGCAGTTCTTGAAAACAGCGATGTCCAGTCCATGTATTTCCGGGCCCTGAAGAAAGATCATGCAGCTGTCTGGCTTCATTCCCGAGGAAAAGTCGTCCTGAAAAACTCCCGGAAATCCATCGTGTTTTCCCACTGCCCCGTCAGGTATGTTATCAGTGCAATAATCTCCCGTGTTTAAAGCTGTCTGTTGATGACCGATGAGGGTCTTATGTGCAGATGGGAATCCCACGCAACTTCAGGACTCCAGGCAAGAGCCTTTTAGGCACTGTTGTACGTCATTGTCATACAAGCCTGATCAACCTCGAGTATGTAATATATGGAATTCGTATATCACTGGCTAAGTAGCATGCTTGCCCTGTCGTTGATAAAATGATGTATTTAACTCTGAAAAGAAAGTTTGGATATTGATCAAGGAAGTTTTGTCGAAACACTTTCATGGAAGGAAGTCTTTTGTATATTTTAGCCTACAGTTCAAACCGATTTGCTGTCTCTATCCCATCAAATACAGTTTAAAAATTGTTCTAACCATCATTCTTCTTTTATCATCTAGGGAGGAAGACTCCTTGTTTCTTCACCAGGAAGCCTTACTACGCAGGCGCTACGGAACAGAGGATCTACTGCGCGCGATGCATGCTGGGACAGCCCTTCAGTACCCGTATGAAGCTATCCCTGCAGACGACATGGAATACTCCCCCTGTGGCCATTCTGGCGGGAAATCCCTCAGACGGCGCCGCTGCACGCCGGGCGACGTGTACGGCGGGCTGAAGGACGAGTTCTCCGTATCTCCGCACAGTCCGCACGGCGCATGCCCGTCGAGCATGCACTCCGGCTCTGACAGGGACTCCGCGTCCCCTGCGTCGAACCCGTCCTCCCGCAAGCGGCCCCGTAAGGACAGCCGACGCTGCGACGACGTCTCCGGTACAGACTCGAACCAACACTTCGCAAACAGCTATCCCCACGCCTTCCCTTTCTATTACCCCATGACGGACGGCTACATTCACAGAGTTGGGAATCCCGAACAAACCGAGAAGAACGCATACCCGAGAGTTGGGAATGGATGGGAACCCGCCAATCATCGTTTGGTTGGGAATCCGTACTGCGACTTTGGGTCAGCAGAATTTCACAATCCGTTACCCTCTCCCCCGCCTTCGCCGAGACCGGTGTGGAACGGGACCCACCAAGGCGGCCCTTCTGTGTCAAACTCTGCTCAAAACTATTACTCCGCACACACGGCCAGTTACCCTGCATACGGCAATGGTATGTGTCATTCCCCCGCCTCAAGTGTGTACACGGGACAGCCGTTTGGTTCGTGTCAGGCCTACCCAGCTCAGGACGACAGGTGGCGGCGCAATGGGTGCTGGACACCCCAGGCCGCCATGCCATCCACACCTCCTAACGCTATTAACAAGCACACGGAAATGCCCAGCTCGTCAACTGTACACTACCTGTCTAGAAACAACCAGGAGCCTTACGGCAACGCTGTTCCACTGAACAGTCAAGTTTACCAGATGGATCATGAACGTACGGGCGCCACGGCGTGGTACGACAGCATCAGCCAAGTCTCCCCTCAAATGGACGAAACGTCCAACATGCCAGAGCTACAGACCACGACGTCATCCTGCATGTTCGAAGGGACAGCCTATGCTCCAAGAGAACACGTGGCGACGGTCTCCTACCCGAAATGGACAGCAGAGGCAACATGTCGGCAAGGTGACATTCCGTCTGATGGCAACATGGCCGTCACAACAAAGCACGCGCAGTACGACTCACAATATTTTGGCCTGAGAGAAATGGACATGCGTGTACCCACAGCCGGGGGCTTTCTTGGCTATCTGTACAGCTGATCAAGGTTATACGACGTTATCTGTAGTTAGCTAAAACCAAATACTAGTAGTACTCTGTATAAATCTGTTGGCTCATCGTTTGGTATGTCCTAAGGAAGAGAAGTTTGTAACATGTAATATTTTTAAAAAAGACGTGTTACCCAATCAGTTATCCCTCAGCTAGTAACTAACGACGTGCCTATTGTGCTAGACCATATTCTGTGCAGTGTACAAGCCAAGGGAGTTTTTCTTTAATAATTCTATGGTTTGAGTCAGACTGATAATATATATATGTATTTTGACGATAAATCTTGTTTTGAACATTTGATAGAATCTATGCAATTGAGCAAAATGGCACCAAATGGAGATCAATAAATGACAAAAGACACTATATCTACTGGAATCTGCCTTTACTCAAACTCTTTAAATTCTATCTTTATTATTTAATAAGCAACCGAATAGATTTGGCATAAAATACAAGTCATTAGGTTTGACAAGACCGATGATATTGGACATTGACAATTACGTTTGACATTAACGGTGACAGTTGACATCTCAAACTATATCTGACATTTGTTACTGTGTTAATCACACCTAACATGGCACTGGACATAACATCGATATATCTGACATCACCGTTTGAAATTACGTGCTACATTTGACCGCGCCCATGACATGTACACTTAGTATCAAGGATTACGGTTAATGCTGACTATGTCACTGACATCATCACGCCTGATCTTAGCCTTGACTTTGACGTTAAACGACATATTTGATATTATGTTTAAATATGGTTGACATCACATATACACGCGGAAAGAACATACTGCAATGCGTCACAGTTTACTATCAGGCACACAATAAAGAACATTAATTAGTAATATAACGTTACTTTTACCATATAAGATATATTTCCTAGAGTAAAAGTTATTTCATAAAGGATATATGTACGAGAGAGCATCATCACACGTTTATCACACTTTGAAGGAAGAAAAAACTGTGTGATGCATTTCCTTTCCCCATCTTCCATTTTGGTTTTGGCATTCCTAAATCATGTTCTTTCACAATGTTTACATAACAAGCAATGACCCTTTGCTCTTTGGGCGATCTGGTCTGTTATCGACCTGTCTTTGACAATTATACGTAACTTCATACGATCACTTCCAATGATATACCTTCCAGAAAAGTGTGTATCTGATTAACTAGGCTAATGATACTTATGTATGATACTTACACATCGAAGGTAAAGACTCGAGAGAATTAACAGTCTGTACAGATAGTAGTTCTTTGCATGCAAATTGGCACACATGGAACTGCTAGGATTTAACATGTTGACATGACGTTACTTTATAGTAATATCAGATGAATGTACTAATTCTTCGCACGCCACCTGCATGTAATGAACTTCCGTCTCTACAGCTTCTTAATTCTCCTCGTAGACTAGATAAATGTTAACTTCTTACAATTGCTATCACGTATATATGTAACACACAGAAAGGCTACTATTTGATACAATGCAGTACAGTACGTACAATACAGGGCACGAAAATTTGGAGTATTAAATGACATATGCAGATATTACTATACGTATCACAGAGACAGGCAAGCTGCTGAAATATCGTGACATGGTCTTTCAAAGTCATCGGGTGACGGTGCAATGACGCAGGTGAAGAAAGAAGAAACGTATTCAAACTGGCTCGTGATATGATCATATTCAGATTTTCCTGATCTGATTTCGGTGAAATGGGTTGAGATGTAATGAAAGCTGGTGCGACCAGGGGGTTGTCAGTGGTACGAAGATGGGATGGGATGGGAGGGAATGAAGAATGGTGACATGAATGCTGACCTGATGCGTTCAATTTTCCGCCAAGACGTTGATTTTTTTATCAGTGAAAAAGTAATGACACTATTCACAGGGGACATACCGTGATCCCCTGGTTGGCGGGTGAATCAATACATACATGTTGCATTATCAAGGAAAAAAGGTTATGTCTTTATGTATCATGCCGACCGTTGTGGGGAATTTTGCTTGCTAACAAATGCCATCATCTGTCATCCCACCATAAACTACAGACGCACAGAATCAATCGTTCAGGCACCCACTTCTGATGATTTTCTTAAAGACGTTTCTGTAGTCCTGGCTTTTGATGGTGTGGATGATCGGGTTGATCGAGCTGTTGATCATGGCCAGCACCAGGGTCAGATTCTGGATGTCCGGGTGAACAGGAGTCACCAGGACGTGGACGTACTGGGTTATGGAAATAGGGGTGGAACAGACAAGCAGGACAAGGAAAAGAACGAACAGATAGCTGGTGATCTCTCTCACTACTTTTCGCGAGGGACGGTAGAGCTTTTTCGCGTTGGGATTGGGCGCGGCGTGGGCTTTTACTCTTTCCTTCACTTTGCGAATTTTGAGAAATATGGCGATGTAGAAAAACAGACTGAGGAGGATTGGTGCGACCACCAGGATGATAATCTCGACGATGTTGACCACGAAAAAGACCATGTCTGACATGTCAGCAGCGGGGACGGATATGAGGATGTAGGAAGGGCGGGCCAGGCGGCGGAAATAAGCAAAAACCAGTAGGATCATCAGAAAGGTCGAAATCCAGGATGTGATACAGTAGATTGTGATCTTAGTGGGAGTAAACAACATATTGTATGTCTGCAGTGGCTTCGTTATCAACACATAGCGGTTCCAGGCTACCAGACCAGAGTTTAACACAGACAAGTCTACGCTGAAGAAGTAGACAAACCCCATGACGTCCCGGAACACGCAGCTGGGTTTGAAGGCGGGGTAGAACCAGGCGAGCGACAGGCACGAGTCACAGATCAGTGACGTCATCAGGTCTGCCGTCGCCATGTTTGCCAGGAAAAAATTCGTCGAGCTGGAAAATTGTGAGATTTTATGGATTTTGTCGCAGGGGATAGAAATGTGGACACGTTGACTTTTGTTTTCACCATATTAAATTTAAATTTGTAACGCTTGTTATCATTTTATGAATTGGACCAAGCATTTGGTTTTCCAAATTCCTCGACAACTCATATATCTGAACATTGATACCCGTACACGACAACATGGCATGGCAGCTAAGCTTTTCCTGTGGAGATACGACACGATCTTACACACTGCGGACATTTGTAGTTACAACATGCCTCGAACATTCGTCCTTTCGCGGCGTGAGACATATGAAGAAAATTAAACCTAGAGGAAAGAAGTCGCAGGCACTACTAGGGAAATCTGGAATCCTAGAAAAGACCGCAAATTTAAAACGACCCAAAAGTCTGCCTGGAGAGTAGGCTTCCACTAAAATCAAAAACCCTTTTTTCCACAGCAATTGTACACCCACCTGCGTATCTTTTTCTCCATGACGTTTGCGGCGATGACCATGCTGTTGCCAACCACTCCCACGAACGACGCCAGCAGGAGCGCGGCGGCCAGAAAGTAGCGCATCGGAGCGGTGAGACCCGTGGGCTGGTCCCCGTCGGGTAGCAGACACGACTCGTTGACTGTTGTGTTGTTCATCTTGGCCAGTGTCCAGTGCCCCGAAGTCGTCGGCTTGGAGAAAGCTGAACGGTAACTCCTCCTGCCTGTACGCGTCGCTCAGAGCGAATGAATGATGGTCACGGAGAGACTGCTAGCCAGCGCAGATGGAGCTTGCGCAATAAGGTTCTTTCCACTTAAAAGCGCACGTCATGTTCAAGTGTGCACTGCCGGCCGACTAACTTAAAGCAGGCGGAAAGTGTCTTTATGGTGGTGTGAATGAAATTAGAATAAGAAAGTCTCATGGGAATTCAAGGTAACTTTCAAAGTCTTGAGGAGGGCTAAAAGAAATTGGCGCCAGCCAGAGAATGGAATAATCCTATATGACTGTATTGTATTTAGATGGGAAGATAGCATGCGTTTCAGGTTAATTGGACCTGGCGACAGGAAACATAGGTAGGTATGATTAGTCTGATAGAAGTGGATAAGGTCCTGGCATATCAG